GGGGTGGGCGGGGCCAGCCGCGCGCTGGGGGCGGGGGGGGGAAGGGGCCGCGCGTCCCCCGTTCCCGTCCCACCTCCCGCCCCCCTCCCCGTCCGTGTTCCCGCCACTCCCCCCGGAATTTTGGGTGCTCCCTCCGGCACGGGGAATGCTGGAAAACACACTACGGCCTTCCCCCCCCACCCCCGCCACCCCGCCCCGCTCCACGTCCTGCGGATTTCCCGCTGGAGGAAACCACCCTCTAGCGGGCTGCGGGGTAATGGCAGGGGGTGATTTTTAGGGGGAGAAAAAACCCGCCGCTTTGGGCTCTGGTGAAATGTGGCACCGGCAAAAATGGCAAATTTTAAAATGGTTATATTTTAAATTTTAAAATTATTATTATATTTTTTACGGCGTTTTTTAAATATATATTTTAAATATACACGTCTAAGCACTGTGTGTGTAGAGAAGGACGGGATTTGTGTTTGGGGTTATCCGTTTCCCCGGAGAGGGACAGGATTTGTGTTTGGGGTTATCCATTTCCCACACATACTTTATTTCCCTTTCCCATTTCTCATTTGTTTCAATTTTTTTATTATTATTATTCATTTTTTCATTTATTTCCATCTCATTAGAAAGGATGAGGGATACAGGTATATCCAAGAAGGAAAATGGGGAAAGAGAAATTCCCGTGCACAAGTGTTTGGAAGAACACACCAAAATGCTGAGTGGAATCGAACACTTTTTAAAGCATAAATAATGGTGTGAAGTGCTTTTATCTGTGGGCTTTTTATTTGGAATAAAAATGGTTTGTGGGGAATATCTGTCAGTTCGAAGCCATTCCCTCTTGTCCTGTTCCTCCATGCCCTTATCCAAATTCCCTTTCCAGCTCTCTTGGAGCCCCTTTAGGAATTTGTTTCCCAAAAGTGGCTGTGTGCTCTGGCGGGTGCTGGAGAAAGGGAAACTCTGTGTTTGTGCTCCCTTTGGCTTAAAAGGCAACACACCTGTCTGATTCTGTCCCCTTTGGGGGAAAAATATTAGCAGGGAGACAAAGGCCGCCCAAATCCACCGGGAACACCCAGACCTGTGTGCTGGAGCATCAATCCCTCAGCAGGATGACGAGATGAGGATCACCAAGTGGGATCATCAAGCATAAATGGTCCATCTCGCCACAGTTCTGAGTTTGCCTTTAGCTCCCGGTCTGTCTGGTGACTAATTAAACAAACAGGAGTGGAGTTCCCTGCCAACACACCCCGGCCATCTGTCTCATCCTACGGCTCCATCCTAACAAACGCTCCACCAAAGAGCCCCTTTCCCCTCACCTAAGTGCTGACAGTCCTCCCGCTGTCCGGGTGTGCTGCGGGATGGCCCGTGGAGCCATGAGGATACACCCTCTGTATGGGAATGAGGAGGGAGGCTCCTTCCACCGCCAGCGCGATCGGCACAAGGGGCTCCAGGCAGAGCTCCAAACGCTGCTAATTTAAGGGTTGCCAAGCTGGCTTTGCCAAAAAACGCCTCCCAGGTTCTGCATTTTGCACATCTAAAGTGATAAGGGCAGCGATCTGAAGGATATTTAGGGATGAAACATCAAATACATCCCTCTGCAAGGCTGGGAAGGGGGGCAAGAGATGGATCCCCCCCCCCACAACAGCAAGTGGTGGATGAACAAGAGTAACAGACCGAAGACAGAGTCTGTCCCATGCTCCAGGAGACACCAAGAGCCTGCCTGCTAATTAACCCAAAAATAATCACCCACCACTCAAGACCCCACAGCTCCTATTCCCCAGAGTGTCCCCGGGAAGCAGATGTGGAGGAGTGGAGACCCTGACGTCACAGCACACGCCGGGATGTTTGGAGGTTTCTATGGTAATTAAAAAATAGATCTGTGACCCGTGGAAGAAATTCCTTGCCGCATTCCTTGCTTTGCAGGGTGTGTGCCCCTGCAGATCAGTGTGATGGAAGGATCCTCCTTCCTGGCTGGAGGAAAATCTCCTTTCCTGACTGCAGTGGGGGGGACTCACCAACACCCCCACGGCCAACTCTCTTCCCTGCGGATGGAGCATCCAATGTGCAGACACTGTGTCCTGGGAGCAAAGACACCCCATGCACAAATACAAGGCAGAGTGAGTGGGAAAGCAGGATAACTCTATTTTATATGGTAATTCCTGTGGGACCTCGGGATCTTCGCGGATCCAGCTGGAGCATTTCTGCAGGGCTGCAAGTTTTGGGGTAAAAAGTGGAGGCTGTTTGTTGACTGGGGCAGAGCTGATGTCATACCAGAGTGGGTCATGGAATCACAGAATATCCTGTGTTGGAAAGGACCCACAAGTTCCATCAATTCCAACTCCTGGCCCTGCCCAGGACACACCAACAATCCCACCCTGTCCCTGAGAGCCTTGTCCTAACACTCCTTGAGCTCTGGCAGCCTTAGGGCTGTGCCCACTGCCCTGGGGAGCCTGTTCAGTGCCCAACCACCCTCTGGGGGAAGAACCTTTTCCTAATATCCAGCTTAAACCTCCCCTGGCACCACTCCAGCTGTTCCCTCAGGTCCTGTCACTGGTCACAGCGAGCAGAGATCGGTGCTGCCCCTCTGCTTCCCCTTGCGAGGAAGCTGCACCCTCCATGAGGTCTCCCCTCAGCCTCCTCTTCTCCAGGGTTGGAACAGCAACATTTAGGCATCCTCTACATTTCTGTTTACCATTTCAGAGAGAAAACAAGAGGCCTGTGGTAACATTAGCCAAGCAGGTGGTCTAAGCAAATTAGTGAATCTTGACGATTCCCGAGTTCAAAGGAAGCCGTTGCTCATCCCTGTCAAAGCTATCTGATAACATATTTAGCTGGAGAAAGGATGAGCATATCCACCAGCACACAATGGCCCAGATTTCCTAGCTCATTAAACCCAAATATTAGCGAAAATATCATGGTAAGCAGGCTGAGATAATTAAACACAACATCCCTTCCATTTGTTCCTAAACACAGTGTGGGAATTGGCCACTGGGATGCTAATGATTTCCTTACATTGGGTGGTGAAGTGGAGCTGTACAAAAAGCCCTGACAAAACCAACCAAACAAAAAGAAATATAAGAAAACTAAAAATAAAAAGTAAATAATATAAACCTATGTGGTTTTGTATTTCCAGACTGGATGAGGCAGATGTTAAAAATCAGAGAGTCCCAAAATGGTTTGGGTTGGAAGGGACCTCAAAGCCCAACTTATTCCAACCCCCTGCCATGGGCAGGGACACCTTCCACCAGACCAGGCTGCTCCAAGCCCCGTCCAGCCTGGCCTTGAACACTTCCAGGGATGGGGCAGCCACAGCTTCTCTGGGCAACCTGTGCCAGGGCCTCACCACCCTCACAGGCAGGAATTTCTTCCCATTTTCTAATCTAATCTCCCCTCCTTTAGTTTTATACCTCTTCCCCTTGTCCTATCACTATCTGCCTGTGTAGGAAGTCGCTCTCCCCAAATACAAAATTGGGATTTACACTCCTGTGCCCAGTCTGGGGGTTGGGGGTGACCTCGGGTCTGAATTCACCATGAGAGCAGCAGCGATTCTCCAGGGTCTGTCCTGCTTGGGGCTGGGGGAGGAAGACACAGATCTCCTGCACTAAAGAAATTAGAGGAAATGACAATCCCAGGCCTGGAATACCCAATCTAACTCTACTACACTGTTTTTCTGGCATCATTTTGGGGCAAGGTATGCACTGCTCATATTCCAGCCTTAATGCATAATCCTCCTTGTGGATCAGCTCTCAGTCTGGATGTACAACCTGTGTTAGTGGACAATTAGGTGTTGCAGCCCAAATCCTCATGAAAGTAGCGTGGGTTGACTCCCCTGATGCCAGAGGCAGTGGGAGATGATGACTGGGAGGAAAAGCACCTTTAGCCCTCTGGCTTGAGCTGTGACAGCGGATCTGAAGGGGAAAGAGAAGAAGTGGCAGCATCTGAGTGCCAATATCTGGTGAAAGAAGCACTGGGAAATACTGGTTATAGCATGGGAAACGTTGCTCATGTGTTTGTTTAGCCATTGTGAAGGGGTTGCTGTGAGAAGACCCCGTGTCATCTCCAAAAACACCGTCGTGCTGATCCGGGAGCGCGGGGGAATCCGCCTCTCCTGCAGTGTCAGCTCTGCCCTGCACGCTTGATGAGCTGGCTCACAGGGACCCCAGGGACTCAGAGCCAACAAAATAAATCATCTTAACTAATGGTTCTCAAAAGAACACCACTGGCAAGTGTATCACAGGCTGCTCTCACTGTGGTGATGCTGACAGAACCGGTGATGAAGAGGAGCCGGGGAAGAAGGGGATGCGAAAAGGGACACGAAGGATTTATTTAACCCGGCAGCCAGGAAGTTCCACTGGGCTGCTCCAGTTTCAAACAACCCCTTGAATACAAACACTGCAAAACCTGATTGACAGCAAAGTGAGTATTTGCAGAATTTGACTTTGCAGGACTGAGATTTGTGTGTGTGTGTTGAGGGCTAAGCCCCACCCAAGCCCCGTCGGGCCTTTGGGGCAGCAGCGCTGGTTTGTGGGGCACACCAGAGATGTCCCATCCCGCCCTCCCCAGCTGGAACAGCTCCACTCACACCTGGGATGGGTCTGCACCCCTGAGCAGCTCTGGGTCCCTCTCCATGCACACTAACAGCCCTGCTGGCGAGATCGCTCCCTGGATGGCTGTATCCCATAGTCTGCCTCATGTTTACCTACAACACTCCAATTTTTCCAACCATTTCCAGCCAGGCACTGAAAGCAGCTTGTTGTAGGACTTGGAGCTGACTGAGGCTGTGCTGCAAGCAGATGGCCCTGATGAAACAAGACACTGATCCCCAAGGAGGCACCACTCAAAGGAGCTGCTCGACTCCCCGGCTCCAGCAGCTCCAAGACAGGCTTGGAGATGTGCATTAGCAGC